AGCCCATGTCTTCATAATTTGTACATGGATGTGACGAATTAGCCACATTCTCAACTTAGATGCACAATTGGTGATCAAAACATGAGTTTCAACTACAATTTACATGGATCATACCCCTTTGAGCTCAAAACATGCAATATTCAAGACAATCACACACATGCATGCATATATGGGTCTCCATTATAACAAATTCAACTCAATTTCCTTATGATCAAACAATTCCATGCTCTAGACCCTCTTTCAACCTTGAATTCACAAAATGATAGCTAAAAATTTATATGAACTACTCACCAAGGAGTTTAATCTTCACAATCTATGGCAATTCTTGCGTTATCTTCAAGGCATTCAAGGATCAAGAGCAAAACTTAGATTTTTTTCTCCCCTCCCTCTCTCTAATAGCCGGCCCTCCTCTTCTCTTAGAGTTGATCAGCCAAAATCAATGTAAAGAGAAGGAATTGGTTTTAATAAGGTTTATAATAGCCCCTCTCACATATTATTTCAACATAAAATAATGGGGTACTCAATTCATCAATTAAATCAATTTAATCTGACCTGGATCAATTTTCAATTAAATTTCACCGTAGGCTCTAAAAATTATGCCAATCACAATGGCGTAATCAATTTCGGGTTCCGTGGCCGATAAAGCCTTCAATTTAATTTCCAAAACAGATTATTCAGACAGATATTCCTACGGTGAACAGATAAGACTTCAAAATCACAAATATTCACATAATGACACATAAAATCATGCTAAACACATAATCATACTCAAATTAAGGACCAATTAGCATACTATAGAACAAGGGTATCACATCAATACTCTCATCAGCGCCTTCCACCAACTCTAGAGAGTCTATCTCATTCAAGCCTACAAGTTCGTTTGCCATCGCAAGCTCAGAGGACAAATGTGCAGAAAAGGATGAGTGTAAGGGAGAAGACAGAGGGAGGCAAAGAGGACCCACCTCTTAGGGAGAAGAAGATGCTAAGGCCAAAGCCCAAAAGTTTGGGAAAGACCCAGAGGAAATACCCAGAGGAAACCTAGGGTAGGAAGGCTCTTATTCTAGAGAGAGAAGCTCATCTACATCACCTCACTACTAATTCAATTCTATCATTTATCTATCAAAACTAGGGGTGTTCGCGGATCGATTTTGTGCGGTTTGTGGTTCTGTTTTGACACGCCCGTATGTATGCGGTTTGGGAAAAAGTCAAACCACAACCGTCCGCAGTGCGGTTTGCGGTTTGCGATTTGTGCAGATAAGGTTGCAGATGTACGGGCGGTTGCGGTCAGTTTGCGGTTTGGATTGTTTCCTTAAAAATTTTATTCTTGAGTTTTTTTTTCTATTTTGTAAATATTTATTTGGGTCATTTTCTTTTAATTTTTTAAAATGCTCCGACATTAATAATTAATGAATTAAAACTTATAAAATTAAAAGCACAACAAAATCAATTCCTAACACAAACAAATCATTCAAAATCATTCAACATGATCCAACATTAATTGTGTACTTGGCCCTCTGGGATTCATTTTAGTAAAGAAAAATGAATATCATTTAAAAAAAAATAAAATAAATATGAACTTCCTTCAAATAGTATTCTCACTGATTTATTTAGTGAAAAAAAATCTTTTCTATAACCACCATGGGAAAACCATTAGACAGTCCCACAAATTGGAGATTGACACTAATTCACTAATTTCAATTTTAACAAATTAAAGATGAACAGGGAAAAAAGTGCTGGGAGCACGAATGATTCTTTGAATTTGTAGAATGTTAAGAAAAAATTTACCTCCACAATGACAAGGTAAGTACATCTAAGGAACCCCAGAATGTTTCAAATGAACGGTCTAGTTTTTTTTTCAAAAAAAAAAAAAAGGAAAAGTGCGGGCGGTTGTGGCGGGTGCGGGTTAAACCCGCAACCCGTCTGCAACCTGAAAAATTGAAATATTTTAAACCGCACCTTATCCTATTATATTTGCAAAACCTTCCATATGTGTGCGGATAGAGTCAGGTAGGACGGTTGTGCGAGACGGATAATTTTATGCCCAACCCTAATCAAAACAAACCGGGCCATGTACTATGAGAAATTAAAATAAAGCCCAAAACGATTCTTGTTAGACCAAATTGAAAATAAATAAAAAAATAATAATAATAGAAATTATCAGTCCATTGTGACTGAAATCGACAAAAGGAAACAAGACAACTTTACTATTCCTAAGTTCCAACCAAATCCAGTCAACAATGAAACAACCAGCCGACGGCAGCACAGCAGCGCCGCCGCCGGTGACAACAAACGGCGGCGCCTCTTTCTTAACGGCGACTGAGTCCTCTCTCTCTTTCCAAGTTTTCGGGGATGCTTGAATAATTAGGTTTTCTATTATTGGGTTCGAGCATTGATCTGTTCTAGATTTTAAAATTTGGAGGTATTCAACTACTAGCTTAATTCTTCTTTAATTGTGTCTAAAATTTTATTGGATTTCATTGCTATTCTACTTTTCTATTTATCCATCAATGCTGTATTTTGGGAAAAAAAAGCGTAGTAACTTGTAATGCTATTAAAAAACGTGGTTGTAGACTACTTGGTGTTGTGATTAGAGAGTAGTAGCTTTGATTGTTGGGGGATAGAATGAAATCAAGGTGGATTCAACTGGTAATTTTGTGAACGACGTTTGTATGTATACATATTTGTTTGTGTATAATTTATGTCTATATGTTCCCTTAATATACACATTATACATGTTTGTATATAGGTATTGAGAGGATTATGAAATGTTTTTCTAAATATATTATTATATGCACATATCAGTGGATTGTGAGTTTGTGTGGATTTTTGATTATATAATCATGCTTGTTAACAAGTGTAGTTCCAGATATGAAAGAAGCCGCACAAAGTAGAACATTTTATTCTATCTCAATCTACTTGATAAGTTTTTCAGTACCAAGAAACAAGTAGAGGGTTCAGGTTTAGTATTTGGTTATTGAACAACTTGATCAATGTGTAAATGACAATAATATTCATGATTTGGTGATTGAAGAGCCTACTCAATGTGGATACTAGCTAATAATTTTATTTTTTTTTGGTATTTACTATATTAGTCAATTGAAATTTATAATGAGCTCAATGTGGATACCACCAAATTTATATGCAAATCAAAAGAAATTCCAAATGACCTTTGACTTGTAATTTGATACGAGCTCCAAAAATTTAGAAAAAAAAAAAAAAAAACAAACAAACAAACAAACCATCACTTTGTATGTTCAAATAGGAATATAATGATAGGGGAAAAAGTTAATATGGCATTTCTTCGGTTTCAACATCAATAAAAACCACAGAACTCATGCATTGGATACCAGCAAGTTCAAACAACACACATCTAAAAAGAAATACACAACAACCAAAAACATCAAATTACAAAAGCAGAGACAATTCCATATTAGAACAAATCAATCTTTTAATGAAACACCGCACAAACAATAAGAGCAGAACAGCTTTACTGAGTAAGCAATTTCAAGATAAGAATCAAGAGCCTGTGTCTTCAACATATATGCTTAGTCATTCCACCTATGAGACAAGACGAAGCCATTCCACCTGTGAGACTATACAAATCCAATCAAAACTAGCAACATCAATTGTTGAAAAAAATAAAATAATAATAATTAATGATCCAAATGGTACATGCTCTGTCGAAAGGTGTGTTCATATGTCATAGTTATAAATTTTTTGTGATATTGATTATGAATTATGTGATGTTTAGTTATAAGGCTTTGTGGTAATCAAATTTATTGTGGATTTGGTTTTGTGACTTCATGGTGGTTGGTTATGAGCTGGAGTGTCTTGGTTAAAAGGTTTTGTGGCGTTTTTGATTATGAAACTTTGTGATGTTTGGTTGTGAACTAAAGTGATCTTAGTTTTTGTAGATAAAATACATTTTGCTCAAAATTCTTCTACTTTAGGATTACCTAATAATTTCTCAGCAATTTTTTTTTAAAGGAAAAATGTCTATAATATTTAGGCTGTGGATTTGGATAGAGATTTGAAAAGAGAAATGAAAATGTGGTTGAAATGTGAATGAAATATATGGAAAATTATTAGATACTCTTGGAGTACCACGTGCCCATGTTCCTTCACCAATCATCATTCATCATACCCTTCATGTTTCTTAATCACTCAACACAAAATCATAATATGCCACCTTCTTCACCAATCATAATACCATGGAGTACCACGTGACTGTGCTTCCAGAGTACCCAATAATCACTTGAAATATAGTTACATTTCACCTACTTTTTTTTTCATTTTTCTTTCCAAATCTCTATCCAAATCCATGATCCAAATACAACCGTTATAGTTTTTTTTCTAAATAATATAACAGGAAAAGTTGAGAAATAGATGTTGACCAAACCTTCCAAAATGAAGTCATGGGGTTGAAACTCCTTCCCCTTAACCTATAATAAATATATAGATGAAACAAAATAAGGAATATTAAAATAAACTTACAGATATGAAATGGAGCAAACAACCACAAATATAAAATGGATAAACTTCACTTTGCTACTTTGGTTTGGGTCATGTGCAGTTTACTCCCTGGCATTTAGAAATGATCACATAACCCTCATGTGATTTGTGGACTGAAGTGTACCGTTAAACATTTTGTCTAATTTAACAGTAAGTGTGAAACACGTAGTAGACATAAGGGAGTTATATGCCCATTTTCAAAGTTCAAGAGGGTAAATCACACATGGAATAAAGCATAGTGGATTAAAGTGTACTTTGCCTTCCAAACAAATGACAAAATGCAGGGATATTTTAGTCTTTTTCATTAAATCATTAACGGACTTAATAGTGCACTTCAGTTTACAAATTACAAGGGGGTTATGTGGTCGTTTCCAAATGTTAAGGGGTAAACCGCATTTGGCCCAAACCACATGGGTAAAGTTTGCCCATATAAAATTGTATGATAGTTAAGAACTATATGGATGAAATAAGATAAATGTCATACCTTTTCACCAGTTATCTATCTTCATTATGTTTTTGATTCTATCTGGAATCGTTGTTATTGGATTGCACAAAACGATGCCAAGTTCCTTAAGTCGTAGCATTCCTCCTTCCTCAACTATTAACTCCTTTACAAATTGCAAACAATCAATTTTCAATACTTAAAGTTGAGGAATGTTACAACCAGGTGCTCCGGGGCAAACCATCTTGCTCCCCGCTTATGAATAGGAGTATAATTTTAGGATCTTTAGTTTAGGGCCTTTCTTTAGTCTCCATTGGGCCTTTTTCTAAATAATTCTCCAGAAGGGTAAGCTTGATAAGGTTTGGGGGAAGTTTATCGTGTTGAGGCAACTTACTTATCCACCAAATGCGCTCCAAGATTCTCGTATCGAGACAAATTCAATGTTCCTAATATCTCACCTTTGATATCCGACAACAACTTTTCAAGGTTGGTTAGTATAATTGTTGGATTTGATAATACCTTAGTAATACACTCAGACGAATCATTGACTCCCAATTTTCTCAAATTTGAGTGTTTGTGCAAAAAATTGAAATCACACACCATTTCTTCCGTCAACCAATATAGGGTTTGGAGATTTGGTAAAAAAAAATTCAGTTGGGTAAAATCTATCCAAGTTGATCCCACAGAATGAGGGAACCTTCTTGCAGAATCTAGGTAAGAGGATGTGTCTTAGTTGCTTCATAGTGCAAATAACATTAGGAAGGATGACACCAAGATTGCATTCTCGAACATCGAAGGTTAGCAAACTATTCAGATTGCTTATGTGTGAGGAATTTCGATAACCTCAAACTTCGTATAATTTGTGAATCCCAATCCAAGGTGATGCAAGTTCTTCAATTTGTCAACTTCATTTGGAAGAGCCCTCAGAAGATAAGTCTCCTAGAAAATTCTTAGACGTTTTCCTTGTTAGGTTTTTCAGATCTCTCCACTAAAACATAGCATAGCACGAAGCTTTGGAGTTGGATAATTCAAAGAAATGTAGTCATTGAAATTACTACCATGAGTAGTGACTCTAGGTACTCCCGTTCCAAGATTAAAGGTGATTACATCATTTTGAGTGTTAAAGAAATTAATCTCCTTGGCCTCTTGAATGCAAAGATTGTGCAAAATATCACGAATGAGACAACTCCTAGCCTTTCCATCAAACCTCCTTTGAACAACTTGAATCAAGTTCCTCGCAATCAAGTGATTTAGATAATCATCCCCCACATCCTCAACCTCTCTTACTCCACTACCTTATATAAATCCCTCGGCTGCCCATAAATTAACTAATTTGAATGCCGAAATTTCATGGTCCTCCAAAAAAAGTCCAAAGTATAGAAAGCATGGTTTCAAATTTGTAGGCAAGTCTTTGTAACTCAATCCAAAGATTTCTAAGCATTGATCTTGATCTTGACCCATGCCCTCGAGTATCTCCTTCCATGCATTTTTTGATCTCTCTCTTAATAACAACAATCCTACTGCTAGTACAATTGCGAGTGGTACACCACATCTTTTTAATATTTGCTCACCAATATTCTCCAGCTGAGGGGGATCACTTGTTTCAATCATAACCATTTTAAAGAATAGTTTTCTGCTGTTTGCTTCATTTTAGGTCGCAACTCATGTAGAGAGCTCTTCCCGCCGACATGAGTTTGCACATCATTGTTTCGAGAAGTGAGAATTATTCTACTCCCATTCTTCGTATCGGTAGGAATGGCATTCTTTATAACATCGCATGTCTCAATATGCCACATATCATCAAGGACTATTACATACTTGTGTCAGCTAAGGAATGTAAACATATTGACCTCGACGTTCTCCTCCCACTTCTCTTTCTCCAAGCCCACTTGTCATGCAATGTCTCGTAAAAGTTCTTTTATATTTGGTTGTTGTGAAACATAAATCCATGCAGAATGTTCAAAATTATGTTGAGTGGACTAAAAAACTTTCTTAGCAAGAGTTGTTTTGCAGAGTCTTGCCATGCCAATAATTGAGATCACACAACATTGCAATTCTTTATTGAGCATTTTTGCCACCAAATCTTTAATGTGTTTTTCAAAACCAACAACATTTGGTACATCAATATGGGGAAAAGATCGTCTTTCATCCCATGTCTCCTCCGCCACTGCCCTTAGATTCATTGATGCCTTAAGTTTGTCTAACACGATTGATATCCTCAACTCTTCTTTTGATCCCTTCAATCTCCACAGCAAAGTTACGAGCATCATAACCATAGCAGACGATACAAGTGGCACTCTTGAGACAACCCAAAAACCCCTTCTCTCTGTGTGATGCTATCCGGGGGAAGTATTTCTGCATAATGTCTTCCACATCACAAGCAAGATCTTGAATATCAATCACCAAGTTGGCCACTCCTCTGCTTCCCCCTTGTTTGGCTTCAGCATCCTCCAAGTAGGCTTGAATATGCCTCATTTCACGTTCGATCCAAACAATGTCTTCTCAAAAATGAGAACCTTCTTTGAAAACTAGATTGCTAAGTACATTGATGGTTTGTCTGAGGACTGCAGTAGCTCCGGCAAGAGCAATCTTTGCCATCTTTGCTTTGGTGGCTACAAATTACAGATGAGAAGTTCTGACAAAAACATTGAAGACAACAGTGTCTAAGAAAAACACACAAGAATTAGAACAAGAGTGAACCACAATCACAGATCTGTATAAATTTCAACACAACAGAAAATTAAATTGGTAAATTTACACAATTGGTCGCCAAATTATGTGTTTTGTTTCACTTTAATTCCCAATATTTTAATCTTTCTACTTTGGTAAAATATGGGATTTGTTTCACTTTACTCCCTAATATTAGCACTGTTCGAATTGAGCAAGGGTAAAAGGGATTTTTTAATTTTATTTGCACCTAAAAAAATGCTACAAAATGTACACTTTGACATTTATTTGATCATTTTGATTTTATTGAAATATCATGTAAAATTCCAAAACTACCTCCCCTCTCGTAACAGATTTTGACAGTGTTCATGTCACCAACTAAAGTGTAATGGATTGAATATTTTGGGAGCAAAGTGGAACAATTAAAAGATTCGACTCTGGAGATTAACTCAAATGAACACATTGATTTGGCACAGGAAGTTAACAAAAGGAAGAAAAAGAAAATAGTAAAATCAAATCTGTAATCAGATCGCACTTAAACAGATTTGTATAAATTTTGAACACAACAGAAATTAACTCTTTGATTTGGTCCAGAAAATTAACAAAAAGAACAAGAAGAAGAAGAAAAAATTAGGAAAAGCAAAAAATAAAATCTGTGGTCTTTTCGCACTTTCCTCCAGGAAGAACAACGCAAAATCTATAAGGTCTCTTGAAAGAGAGAGCTTTGGACATACAGGTAGACTTTCTTTTAGTAAAGAGGTTAAAAACAATTTTTTTGTGGCTTTTAAACTTTGTTTTAAGTTATATCACCTCTGAAAAATCTAGAAATTCTCTAGATGTTGATTTGTAATTATATATCAATTTTAAACAGTAAATAACAATCTCAATCAAACAATCAAAATAAACCGACACAACGATTTTATGTGAAAAAATCACAACTAGAACGCCTCCAATTGTGATAAAAAAACCACAGGCAAGAGCTACAAAACAATCCACTAATAAGATATAAAGGAATTACACAAGTGTACTTTCAATTACTTAGCAAATTCACGTCCGAATCGAACCGACCTTTGTGTACCTCTTCCAGCCCTATCTTCACCTCGAAATTGTCTTGCCCAGCGTTGAATCTACAACGCTGATGTCGAATCCATAACGATAAACAACTCTAGAATCCATCAAAGTTTCAGGCTCGAATTCTACAGAATTCACCGAAAAACAGCACTCTCTTTTGTACTGAATAAACAAACAATCCTTTAATGTATACTTCTTAAACTATGAGTAGAATACTCGATCAAACATCAAAGAAAACTAGCAAAATAGCTTCAAAAGAAAACTCTAAAACCCTCAAAGAAGATCTGAAAACGTAGCCCTAAATTTGGAGCAACTTGAGGTTTTATGGAAGCTAAGATTGCGAGGTCCACTTGAGCGTGGGAATGGACGGTCGAGTGGGGACTCGATATCGTGTGTTCCAAACCAGGATGTACGCTCGAGCGGGGAAATGGACGCTCGAGCGTAAAAACACACCTCACAATATATTTGTAGACAGGTCAAACTACTAGAACCCGACATTCTCTACTCAAGCGTACAAACGGCCGCTCGAGCGGACAGCTCAATCCCCATCATAGTCAGCGAAGTGGCAATCATGAAAGAATTAGCACCACAAACTTCTCTGCAAGGCACAATTCGAGTTAGATTCGCATCTAAAAACTTATAGCCTTACTAAAATAAAAGTGCGAAAACAAGTACAACTGAAAGGAGTTTTGTCAAACGGGATTGTCAATAATAAAAACCTAACAACCTCTTTATTTTTTTTAATATTTTTTTTCAAAAAAAGTTTTAAAATCTAAAAATTAACTTTTAACTTATTTTTAAATGGAAAATGATTTGGAGCCCTAAAAACATCCCCCTAATCCCCCTAATTTCCATTTTAGGCAACTTTTTTCCTGTTTTTTTTTACTTGATATGGAAATTAGGGGGATTAGGGGGATGTTTTTAGGGGATGTAGCATGACCCTTTTTTAAAATAAGTAGACTTTGCAAAGTCTTTTCTGCACATCTTCTAAAAAAAAATTAAAAAATTATTAAAATAATCTATTTATAAACGAGACTTTTACTTTTTTTTTTTTTTCTCCTCAAAAAGTCTGTGTAGTGGTGGGGTCAACCGATTATTCATTTTATTTTTTATGTTTGATTTCATTTCATAATTTTTCCGGAATTAGGTTGGAATAGATTAAGGTGAGATTGACCAAAAAAATTATTAGTGGGATGGTTGTAAGTTAAAGATTGTAAGATAAATTGTATTTATTTATGAACTTAATATAGTAATATCAGTTGATTGGAATTAAATCTATAAAATTATGTAAAAACCCCTCATTATATAGAAGATGATATTGTTGTTTTTGTAAAGTGTGTGGCAAAATAGTCTTTCTACCTCCTCTAATCTCATGAATTAGATTTCAATACCATTTCCTCGTGAAATTGCTACTCCCCTTTTGTCTCTGAAAATAAACAGAAAACATTGATCTTGGCAGTACAGGATAAATAAAAGCTTTTTTTTAAATAAATATATGTATATGTAAATATTATTCAATTATTTACTTAATATATATATGCAATTATTGTTAAACTATTTATTTATCCTATATAAGATTCAGCTTGTCATTTTTATTAGCAAAAAAATGAGAATTTTATTGATAAAATCAACGAAACTGAGAGCAATTTCTCTTTGTTTTATCTTTGGTAAACTACACCATCATGCAGTTAGCTTAGTGTGGGTTTACTGCAAGCCTATATTGATAATTTGAACTATTTTATCTTGTAAACTTGTCAAGTTGATTATTCATAACAAAGTTAATCAGACATCAATAGTCACACGATCGATTCGTAATTTATCCTTAAAAAAATGAATGGCATGTATCGTTTTTAAAATTTACGGCTATTCTTTTGAAAAGAAAATGTGATTTGATCTTGTGAGTAATGATATTTAATTAATTTAATTTTTAATATAAATGATATATTAACTGAACGTTACAAAATAAATGATTTATATTATGAAGATGAGCGCTTGGCATGTTGGAAGGCTTTATATTATGTTTTTTTGGATAAAATATTATGGTTAAAAAAAAAAAAAACATTGCAATTTATGCAATAAAAAGGTAATAATTTAAATAAGGAAAATGATTTGTAAATAAAAAAATTTATACAAAAAGTCTTACAAGAATGATGTAATAGTATTTTAAAAATTGTAAATCACTTTAATGATCTTTTTAATTTGAGATGAATAGACACAAATATGCCATGCTCTGTATTGTATTGGCATCTCGCCAACTTGATTTGGTGTATGCTTTGAGATCTGCATATGATTTTTTTTCTCAATGTTGTGCTAACGATATGTTTTCTGAGATATGATGCAATTGTATCCTCATTGCTTTGATATATTTTGTATTGTTTGTATTTTATTTCTTCATCAATGAAGTCCATTTTTGCCATTCAAAATAAATAAATACTATGCACTAGAAAAAAAAAAAAAAAAATTTCAAATGAAATGTGTTGTTGGTTAGATTTATTCTACATTAGACATAATTTAACACCACACACTTCATTCTTGGTACTTTATGAAATATTTTTCCTAAAAGGAATATTGCACATTAATGAGTTTGAACGTTGTTTATACATTCATTTATTCATTATTAGTCAATTCTTAAACACAAAAATCTAAAATCGAACATAAACTCAACCAGAGTTCATGCATTAGTTTATTGGAGACCATTATACACACACCCATATAGTAAGTTCAAACCACACATAAATAAAAATACAATACAAATCACAAATACCAAATTACAAAGACACACCATTACTAATTACAACAAACAACTAAGCCCTTGTTTGGGAACAAGTTAATTTAGTAATTTTTTGGCTATTTGGCTAAAAAGGTGGATAAAAAAAACTTGTATGTTTGGGATGACTTTTTGACTAATTATGAAAAGATGTGCAAAAAGTAGAGAGAAGAGAATCTTTGACTTTTTAGTATGAGTTGTTGACTTTTTGACTAATTTAGTAACTTTTTGACTAATTGGCTAAAAAGGTAAGTCCCAAACGGGGCCTAAATGTCACACAGATGATTAGAGAAGAAAAGCTTTGCCGAATAAGCAGGTTCAAGGTAAGAATCAACAGTTTGTTTCTTCAACATACTAATAGAGATCTACCAGAAATTGTCTTATAGGTCAGAAAGACCATATGGTCATATGTCTATCCAATAAGATCATGTTATTTCTCTACCTTTTTCTTGTTATAGCGTCATGTAATTCTTAACCCTTTGTTATTAGTTGGGCACATCGCCAATGTAAAAATTTGGAAAGAGAGGATGACCATGCAGAGATCCACCTATGAGACAAAGACAAACCCAATCAAAGTTAATCACCATTAATTAGTATAAAATAAATAAATAAATATATATTTTAATTCATTGTTCAAAAAATTTAAAAAGGGTGTTCATATATTAGGGCTTGTTAGTTAAGGGTAGGTGTTGGTGGCGCAGTAAAGTTATTACATTGTAAACTAGACGTTTTGGTTTCAAATTATGGGTGATGTTATGGTACATTTGGATGTACCATACATCAATTATGAGGATATCTGATTTTATATTATAACTAATATCATATAGATCATAACTATTGCCATATTAACTCATAACTTAGTTATATTTAGTTATTTATACATACCATATTATCTTATAATTACCACATAACTAAATTATTTTAATAATTTAATTTTGAATTGGCAATCTATGTAACTAGTTATCAAAAA